CTTTTAAAACATCCAAAACAACAGATTTAAAGCATTGTAAAGCTGTGAACCAGTGCCACATAAACTGGGGCTCCGAACTGCTTACGTTTGTCACTGAGCACTTACTGCAAACCCATTTTTTTTACTTAAATACTTTTGCTCTAATCTTTAAAATTCTTCAGTCATTTAGCTTAATCCCAAACCTGACATCATACCAAGGAACAAACGTATTGGTTTTGTGTGGCAAGGTTTTGGTAGTGGGGGGCTACAGAGGTGGTTTCTGTGAGAATCTCCCCCATGTCCAGTAGAGCCAATGCCAGCTGGCTCCAGGACAGACACACCACTGGCCAAGGATGAGCCCAGAGCAACAGGGGCTGTGCCTCTGGGATAACAGAGTTAAGAAAGGGGTGAAAAAGTGTTACTGCACAGCAGTAACTGCAGCAGGAGAGAGGAATGAGAGGAACAGCTCTGCAGACACCAAGGGCAGTGCTCCAAGTGCTGAAGCAGAGATTCCTCTGCAGTTCCTGGTGCAGACCAGGCAAGGCAGCTGTGCCCCTGCAGCCTATGAAGACTCCGTGGTGGAGCAGGTGGATGCCCACAGGCAGCTGTGACCCCGTGGGAAGTTTGCACAGACTCCTGGCAGAACCTGTGGAAAGAGAAGCCCACACTAGCCCACTTTTGCTGGCAGGAGCCCACAAGCAATCCATGCTGGAGCAGTTCAACTGCCTCCCGTGGAAGGGACACCCCTCGGGATCAGAGGAACAGTGTGAGCAGCCCTCCCTTGCTGGGGAAGGAGCAGCGGAGACAACGTGTGAGGAACTGACTGCAGCCTCCACTCCCTGTCCCCCTGTTCCACTGGTGGGAAGGAAATAGAGAACTGGGAGTGAAGTTCAGCCTAGGAAGATGGGAGAAGTGGGGGGAAAAATGTTTTTAAAACTTTGGTTTATTTCTCATCATCATCCTCTTCTGATTTGATTAGTAATATATTAAACTCATTTTCCCCAATTCAAGTCAGTCTTGCCCATGACCCAATTGCTGAGAGATCACTCCCTGTTCTTACCTTGAACCATGAGCCTTTCATTCTATTTCCTCTCCCCTGCCCAGATGAGGAGGGAAGAGTGATGAGTGACAGAGCAGCTTTGGTGGGTAGCTGGCATCCAGGATCACACTGCTACAACTACGTAAGCCTACATAAAAGTATGAAGAATAGCAAACTTTAATATCCCTGGATATTGTATTTTAAACAACCATGTCACTGTAAGGTGTAAGATAAAGAAAATGTTTTGTTTTCATTCCCTAAAAAGCATTAATATACACATAATGAATTCTAAGTCTTTTATAAATTGTAAGTAATGGAAAGTCTGTCACTGTAACTGTAGCTTTCCTGTAGCTACAGGATCCTGTTGATCCTTAACAATAACTTCTTACCTGGTCCTAGTCAATATGCAGCTGGTGAAGAGATTGAGAGGTGCCAAAAATGTTCACCATAAAAAAGCGTAAGTCACATTACATATCAGAGGGCCCAATGGCTGTACAACGGCAGCTGACAGACCAAAAAAATCCCAAACCAAATAAACAGTGGTGGGTCAGTGCCAGGGCAAAGAAAATACTTTCAACAGCTCAAAGCCATAACATTTATCTTCGATTTATATGGATGGAACAGTTTTATCACAGTTTAATAACGTCACCAACAACACCAGCCTCTGCAACTAACATTACCATGGATATAGATGAGCTCATAACATCCTTGTGTTAAGCACTTAATCTCAAATACAAAAACCTTCATCAGCTCCCCAGAGACTGCAGAAACACAGTATACCTGAGCATACAATAGCCAACTTCAAAAAATACAAATTAACACAGAATGCTGAAGTATTTTCCTGCAATTAACACAGAACACTAAAGGCACACATCTCTAAACCAGCTTCCCCTCATAATATTGATTCAAGTCAAAACTCATATATTCTACATTCTCTGTGCCTCCTTCAATCCCCCTAAAAAACAAAGTTAGGTTTGAGAATGTAAAATAGGAATTTACAACTTTATCTCCCAAGTGCAATGAACCTTTATTATAAACACAGAACCTGTGTAGGATTACTGGTTACAATTTCGTCAGCTTCTTCTCCAAACACTAAGCACTTTCAATCTTCCCTCTTCAACATCACTTAGAGACTATAAAAAGAAGTAAAAACTCAAAGTCTCCACAGTCCTTGGATCCTACAGCAAAACTCAGTCCTTCAGGGGCAGAAAGGAGAATGAAAACATTCAATGTATGACAGTTATATAGCTTAATACACTTCAGAAAAGTGCTCAAGCACATTAATTATGTGATACAAAACTTCTCTGAGATGGGCTAGAGAGATCTCTGATCCTACAGCTGAGCACCTACCCAGTCCCACACTCCAGCTGTGCTGCAGCTGTGAGCAGCTGGCTGCTATTCCTGGAGCTTGGAGCACAGGCAGCATCAGCACAGCTCTACCTGCAAGGCTATGCAAACCCACACAGAATATAATGGTGAAAGGAGTAGGTCTCTGTGTAAACTCTATTATTTTACTATGTCCATATTTGCATGTCAGATTGAGAACTTGCACTAAGGACTCTGGGCTTCTTTAGTCTGGAGAAAAGGAAGTTGAGGGGCAACCTCACTGCTCTACACTTTCTTGAGGAGAGGACATGAAGAAGGAAGTGCCAGTCTTTTCCCTCTGGTATCCAGGATGGCTGCGAATGGTTCGAAGCTGTGCCAGAGGAGGATTAGACTGGACATTAGGAAGTATTTTCTAATGAGCAGGTGATCAAACACCAGAAGAGGCTTCCCAGAGAAGTGGTTGGTGCCCCAAGCCCATCAGTGTTCAAGGGGCATTTGGACAATGCCCTTAATAACTTGCTTTAACTTTTGCTCAGCCCTGAAGGGGTCAGGCAGCTGTAGTCGATGATGGCTGTAGGTCCCGTCCAACTGAAATATTCTATTCTACAACCAAGAAAGGCATAAAGAAAGTGGTGACTAAGTGTAGCTTATTATCACTATTATCCTATATGGATTCTGACCACTGTTGTTCATTAAAACTTTTATAGACAACACTAGCTAAACATTTGATACCTTCCTCAGATTAAAAAAATAAATAAAAAGCCTGTACAGTGACAAGAATTCACTAGCTTTTGGAGAGCTTTTAAAAAAGAAACACATTAAGGAACTAATGCATCTGTCAAAAATTACATTTCCAAGCCAAAGTGCATAGTCTTGGCTGAAACAGTTAAACTTTTAATCAAGGCTGTAATAAAATATTTGAAAGAGGGTTTGACACATACATAATCAAACTGAACTGTACTTGGCTGAAACAAACAGGTATAATCATCATTTATTTCACATTATTTATAAAGCTTATTCTTCTAGCTGAAGTTTCAATGTCTTATTCACACACTAAAATGATGTTCTGTGGTCTGGTGGGCTGCTGGCTCGCTGTCACAAAGGTGCAGGAGTTATGAAGCAAGGCCAGTCCACCTTGCTCCTTCTCACTGGCCAGCTGTCAACACGCACCATTTCAGCTTTTGCTTCTTCTCTAAAATCATTGTTTATATAAGTGCCATTAATTGAAACCATTGTCCCCCTCAGACAGTTCAGCTCATCCCCATTGGCATTAGCTGTTTACTTCACCTGATGCTCTTACAAATTAAACAAGAGACTTTTCTCCACGCCTTTGTCCTTCTTTCTGTTGTCTGGACAGTGCACAGAGGAAACTCCGAAACAGTGAGGACTCCAGAGAAAAAACTGGGATCACCAGGAAACAGCAGCAGGGGGAAGCCAAAGAACCAGGGCAGGAAAAAAAGGACATGGCTATTGCATGCTCTCACTGCACAGGGCTACAGCAGGGCAAGAAGAAGATGGAGGTAAGGGTAGGCTTGAGTATGAATAGAACTTTAAAAAAGAAAACCAATCTTGGGAAGAGGCAAAAGCCAAGAAGCCCTGGTAGTAGGAAGGTAAAGGGGAGCAAAGACTAGAAGGGAGGAAGAGGTTGGTATGAACCTAGTCTGAGACTGTAATTTATTTGAAATAGAGACACGGAAACTGAGAAGGAGGAATCAAAATGCAGACAGAGATAATACTGGCGGCAGTGGGGCAAAAGGCTCGGTCAGAGGGAACAAACAAATCTGTTGCTATGAGTATCTAGAATGGAACCTAAAAACCTCTGACTTCCTGCTTCCTCTGCTACTATAAACCACTTGTGCATTATTATTTAGTCCCAAACTTGCATATCCATTCTGTAAGTCTGTCTTCTCAGAATTCCTTAGTTTTTCAAAACACAGTCCAGTGCTTTATCAAAGATATGTTATTCAAACCCTGTCTTTGACTCAGTATGGAAGAAAACAATATGCAACAAAATTGTTTTTACAGAACGACTGTGGGCTGAGGACTGCTGTTAATGCTGATCAGCTTTCACCTCTGTAATTCCTTAACTTTTCAGTGCTTGTCTTTTCAACTCTTAAAACGTTCCGATTACCTTTGTACATGTAATCTGCCTGGGGCCGGCACTTAACTACCACACCGTGTGACAGGGGAAGCAGCCAAGCCAAAGGCAGCATGTAGGGAGCAGCACTGCAAACGCCGCCGAACGCGTGTGCTACGGCGGCGTTCTGTTACGTGGCAGCCGGCAGGAGGAAACCCCGGTGCGCACGCAGCCACGGCCCGGAGCGGCGGCGGATCCGCACGGACACAACCGCAGTCTCGGCAGGAGGGGCCGCGGCCGGCAGAGTCCCCCGGGAGAAGCGGGAACGCGGGCGACAGGCGGGCTCGGAGCCGGCCCCAGCCGCCGCGGCAGCGCCGGGCCCCGGCTCTCACGCCGCGCTCCCAGCCCACACCCGTGTGGGAAAGCGCTGCCCCGGGGCTCTCTGCGGGCGACTCCGGGGCCCGCTCGCTCCCCCCGGGGACGCTCCGAGGCGGCGGTGAGGGGCGGGCTGCCCGCCCGGGCGGAGCCGCTGCCGGCGGCCCCGGCTGCCTCTCGCCCTCCCCCCGGGGCCGCACTCACCACCTCCCGCGCCCGGCTGGTGAAGTCGCTTTTGGAGCGGGCGGTGCCCCGCTTGAGCAGCTCGTCCCTTGCGCTGTCCCCCGTCGTCGCCACCCCCAGCGCCTTGTTGCGAGTCTTCACGGTCTTCACGCTGGCCTTAAAAAGCAGGGTGATGTCCACCGCCATGGCGGCTGCCGGTGCCGCCGCGCGCCCTTCCCCGCGCAACGCGGCCCCGCGCGGCGCGTTCCGGCTGCGGGGAGGGGCGGGCAGGCCGCGGCGGCGCGGGAGCGGCTGTGCCGGGCTGGGGCCAGCCCGGGGTAACAGAGCCCTGCGAGGGAAGCCGTGGGGTGGGATGGGGTGGGACAGAGTGGGAGCCGGGAGCCGGCGCAGCCTGCACTATGTAAACGCTGTACGGAAAATAGAACGTGTATGGTGTAACGACCCCCCGCTAAGGAGTGCTGCCAGGTGTCGCCAAGCGGTGCTGGTTGCAAGGCAGGTTAATTTAGAGTTGATTAATACATTTAACAGATCTGCACTGTGAGCCGGGGTGGGCGCTGGTGTGAGACTCCCCTAGGAAATGCCCTCCCATATGGTCAGGCACTGATCTCCGTGATGATGGGGACAAGACTCGAGGGAATGGCCTGAAGTTGTGTCGGGGAGGTTTAGGTGGGATATTAGAAAAAGGTTCTTCACCCACAGAGTGGTTGGATACTGGCACAGGCTCCCCAGAGAAGCAGTCACAACATGGAGCCTGACAGAGCTCAAGAAGAGTTTGGACACTGCTCTCAGCACACGGTGTGACTCTTAGGGATGTTCTGTGCAGGACCAGGAGTTGGACCCGATAATCCTTGTGGGTCCCTTCCAACACAGAATATTCCGTATTTCTGTGCTTCCGTGTATTTCCCATGACCATACCCCTGTGTAGGCAGAGCAACCTTGTTACAGCTGGATGATTTTCTCTCCTGAAGAGAAAGCCGACTTCCCAGGTCCCCTGATCTGCTGCCATCCTGTGCTGGGACATTGTCACATCAGTACCTGCAAGATGTTTCACAATGTTTGTAATCTGATTCCGGAATAAACTTTGTGAAATAACCTTTGTTATTGAGGCAACTTTATTATCATATTCTGTGCAGTGGCCTACTACATGAGGTTGCATGGCACAGAGGGGAAAGCTTTTGATCAAGTTACTAGTGGTGGTGTTTATATAAATATGCCGGTGCATACATATGTGCCATCCAATGCTCTGGCATCCAGCAGACACCATGTAGTTTTTAGCTGTCCTTTCACTGACCAGAAACACATTAATTCCCTGATACAGTCTCCAAAGAACACAATTTCAAAATCCTACCTCACCCTAGCAGACTGAAACTTAATCAACCAGAGCTGTTTTTCCTATCTACTCCAGGGTATCAGGCTTTCTTCTCATGTTGACTACTACTCTGCTTTCAGTTTAATTCCCACCAATTCAGCCTCAACTGGATATTAGTGGTTCCCTCATATTGTAATTAGCATTCATTCATACTTCGTTATTATTGTTCTATTTAAAATTGTGTTTTTATTGTGGTACAGATACATATTTCTAATTAAAGGAATAAACTGTCTTAAGTCTCTGTCCTCGGTGCTGGATTTACCATGAGAATATATTTAAGGTATTAAATAAGTGAACAATGAAGGAGATTAAAGTTGTCATTCCAGGAATGCCAGCAGTACCTGACTGAACCCCTAAGATTAAGAAATTCGGTATAGCATAGATATATGAATAGATATATAGAATAGATACTTCAGCAAAGGACATGTTTAATAAACGTGAAGCACACACATAGTGAGTCAGATCCTTTCAGGTATGTTTCCTAATATTGATAGATTTTCTTTTCCTTGCATTACCAAAACCTGAGCAGTCACATTAAAAAAACTTTCAGGAATGACTTGATCATGCTGACATCCTCAGTCTTAAACTCCTTGAAGACACTTCTGAGACATGTTCATGAATGCTGCCTGTTAAGGTAATTCTCATGTGCTGTGGTTCTGCCATCCTTATCATTACTAATAACTCATTCCACATACACATTCTTTCACAGGCACTTGCACAGGTTAGTTTTTGTCAGTAGAAATAAGAAGGCCACATCTTGGCCCATGGTAGTATGCTCCTGAAAGTGTAGGTGATAGCATTAACCTATCGTTCTGTGCACATTCAACTACATGGTCTGTTCCAATATTTAATGAAGCAAAGTTTTACGCTCTCTTATTCTCATTTAAGTGGCCATTGGATAAGAATGCAGAGTTTTTCCTATTAGAGTGCTGCTATTTTTACATTTAAACTGTAGAAATATGAAAGCTATTTTGAAAATTTGAACTTCCCCTTTCCTTCCTGCTTTTAGAAAAAAACAATGCATTGGTGACTGTGTCACATAATAGTTTATTTTCTAATGAGATTTAGATTCTTTAAAATAACTTGAATACTCTATATATATTTTGACCAAAAAAGAAAATCTACAGTTCATTAAAACAGAGTAAATTTTAACAGATGTACTAGGTTTACCTCCTAATTTTGCAAAGATTTATACACATATTAAACTACTTTGAATACTCCCACTGAGGTCAATGGAACCTCACAAGGCACACACAATTAAGCACATAACTCTTTTACTAGATTGGGACCTTAGCTGGAAATTCTTTGGGAACAAGATCATGTCTTTATTTCTACTTTAACTTATTTATTTGTGTTTTATGCATGTGACCAATAGTTACTGAAAAACACCCCAAAACAGTAACAGTAATATTACACAAGCAATTTTGAACCTCAGCAGTCTTCAGACTTCCATTTTAGCCCAAGGGAGTAAATAGAGACACATTTTAGAAGAAACAGAGTATTAAAATTCCATATAGCTGATCTCATCTGTCAGAAATAGACTGAACCGTTTATCTGGCAAAAGAAAAAGTTAAAGTACCTTTCTAATGTGAAAGAAGGTTGCTCAAATGGTCTAACTCATTAGGTATATAATACCCAGGGTCTCTGCTGTAGAGATAGATAGTTTTGAAGATTACAATTGCTTTAAAATCAGTTGCTAAGAACTGGTGCCCAGAGCTTTCATTTGAACTTGATCCAAGCTTCCTGTATACAGTAACTGCATCTCCTCAGTAGTCATTTGCACTTCCACAGCCACCTCCTTTTAAAAGCTTAGAGCTTACATTGGAGCAGATAGGTTTCAGTAGTACATGCTGGAGCTTCCTGTAATTGCTAAAAACTCACCTTGAAATTTAAGATTTTAAGGTTGGAGTAAAATTCCAAGAACATGCACAAAGCACTACAGTCCCACCACAAGCAATGCAGGTGAATTGGTGAGATGCATGCACTGTGTGCTCTGTTTTGTCCCAGCAGGAGCATGTCTGGAAGAGAAGAAATTAAGACATTGCAAACTACAACAGTTCTGTGTGCAGTGTGAGGACAGCAAGCTGATCATCAGGTCTTGGTATACCTACATGCTTAACAGGCAGTCCTAGGAAAATCTGCCAGTGAAAAGAAGTTCATATTTCCCTGTGATTATCAATCAATTGCCCATTAAAGTGCCCATTAAAGAGGTGCTGGTGCGGTTGTCTCAGAGACAGATAACTCCTCAAATTGTAATTTCCTTTGGTGTGAAAGACAAACAAAAGGGATAAAGCTCATGAGCTTCCTCCCAATGTTACAAAAGTCCTAGTTTGGCACAGGCAATAGAAAACTACATGTGGTCCATTTTATACATTTTTCATTTTTTTCTGGCATAAACTCAGTAACTCTGTTTATGTGATGGCAGTGTTGCAAACTGAAGAGAATATCAAGAGGAAGGCAATTTTCTCACAGTGCACATTTGTAACCAAGACAAATCAAAAAGGGACAACTCCATTTGATGACAGTTTGAACTTCTAAGCCAATAGTGTGCATACTTACCGGCTTACACACAAAGTAAATACGACTTTGTGAATGTGCAGAGAAATCTTTAGTGTGTAAAAGTGGGGCTGGAAGACAGTAAAACCTGTACAAGGGACGTATGGTCACTTCATTGAAACAAAGTTTTGTGGAAAGAATGGATATAAATTGCAGCTTGTATTGTCTATGGCCACAAATATTGACTGCTAGAAACCAGTTCAGTTGGCAGGAGAGTGATTTTCCATTGCTAACAACAGGCAAAACAACTTCCATGTTAACAACATGCAAAAGTGATGGTAGGGTGGCCCTTACAAAAGGATGGGTAAAACAAAAATGCAAAAAGGGTAGAAAAATTAAAATGTAGAAAGAACCTACTTAAGGAATTATTGTAAAGGAGAAGGGGGGAGAAAATGGAAAGTGCTTTTCTGAAGTTATTTACAGACAATGATAGGAGAAAGGGAGTTACGAAATCTGGACCATTTTTTTTTCAATTTTCTCATAAGAAACTTAAATCCTGCTGTGTACATAACAAACCATCCAACATGATGGTTGGACGGGCATTGAATTGTTATTTTAAGTGCTTTGAAAGTAAAAGAGGGAAAATCAAATTGGAATTTTAATTATGTTTCAGTTGATGTAAACAGCAGTGACCAACTGATATGTCAGGGAAACAATGTCTTTCTTAATGCCTGAGTGCTTCCCACATTTATAGGGTCAGAAATAACAATAAGCCAAATCAAAGAAATTTCCATTGCTGGGATTTGAGTCAGGCCCAGAACACGTCACTAGAAATCCTACAAGGTCTTTGCCAAACCCACAAAGGACTGGAGTAATTTCATAGCTCCATTTGGACATTTCTGAGGTTGGGCAATGGTTCTCTATCTGCTGGATATCATGCAGATTAGCAGGAGAGTGCCTTGTCACAGTTGCCTTTACAGCAACTAAGAGCATCAGTAAAGACAGCAAATTAATTCACATTCACAGTACTCAAAATTAAGTTCTATTTAATTCTATTAGTTATGACTTTAAGCTTCTGTATATTCTCCCAATATTTGCTTGGTTTTATTACAAGTAAGCTCCCTGACCCTTTTCATGGGTCAGTTGCCCAAATCACTAGTGTGGGTACAAGGGGAGGGATGGGAATAAAAAGCTTGTGGAAGAAAGGGTAGGAAGGTACTGCAACAGCCCCAGGTCAGGCTGGTTTATTCTGTCAGTGAACAAACACTAAAACATAAACCAGCAGAAACAAACTAGGCAGAGTAGCCTTACAGAGAATAATTCTATCCTCATTT